GGTATAGTGAACACTGAATGTGTGCATCCAATTACTGGGCTGTAGGGATAGTCAACACTGAATGTATGCACCCAATTATTGTGCTGTAGGTATAGTCAATACTGAATGTGTGCATCCAATTACTGGGCTGGAATTATCATGTAAGTCCATGCTTCATTACACACACAGGTGTCTGGAGAACCACCAGCTACTTACTGACCTCAAAGTGGCTACAATAAGGAAAGTCCACACTGAATGTGGGCACCCTGTTACTGTGCTGAAGGTATAGTCCACATTGAATGTATGCACCCAATTATTGGGATGTAGGTATAGTCCACACCGAATGTGTGCACCAAATTCCTGGGCTGTAGGTAAAGACCACACTGAATGTGTGCGCTCAGTTACTGTGCTGTAGGGATAGTCCACATTGAATGTGTGCACCCAGGTACTGTGCTGTAGGTATAGCCCACACTGAATGTGTGCATCCAATTACTGGGCTGTAATTATCATGTAAGTCCATGCTTCGTTACACACACAGGGGTCTGGAGAATCACCAGCTACTTACTGACCTCAAAGTGGCTACAATAAGGAAAGTCCACACTGAATGTGGGCACCCAATTAGTGGGCTGTAGGTATAGTCAACACCGAATGTGTGCACCAAATTAGTGTGCTGTAGGTAAAGTCCACCCTGAATGTGTGCACCCAGGTACTGTGCTGTAGGTATGGTCCATACTGAATGTGTGCACCAAATTCCTGGGCTGTAGGTATAGTCAATACTGAATGTGTGCATCCAATTACTGGGCTGTAATTATCATGTAAGTCCATGCTTCATTACACACACAGGGGTCTGGAGAACCACCAGCTACTTACTGACCTCAAAGTGGCTACAATAAGGCAAAAAAATACATAGAAATTGATTATTAAGGTTAGAGGAGAAATACATATGATTCATTATTAATTTAATAAAGTAAACATTCTTTCATCTAATATACTTTGTCCTTACTTAGCTTTTTCTTCAATAGACTACTAGTCCAGAGATTTCGGCTATAATTGGTATGAACATCCCTAGGCCAAAGGGGAATTCAATGTCTTGAAAAGAAGTTTGTGCCCCCTCCCTTTAACCTTAATAGACAAGGATTATTCTTTGTCATAAGGAATTTAACATTGTAGGCCTTTGTATAAATTTTGCCAGATTTATGAATTAATCTTAAATGTGATGAGACCATCAGTGATAGATAGGTATGGGAGCTCCATTGTGATTAGTTAGTAGGATTTAAACTCTCTCAAGCTGTCTGAGGATCGGTTTATTTCAAAACCATGATATGAAAGATAAAATTGTGAGCCTACATTTCAAAATAACAACTTAACGATGGCGGAGATTGGTTCTGGCTGTAAAAGATGAAACTGCGCATCAACATTTCAAAATAACAACTTAACAATGGCGGAAATTGGTTCAGCCTGTACAGTAATTAGCTAATTAAACACTTCATGGCTGAAACATCCATTCTGAAAACAAATATCCATACCCTGCATTACCCAAATTTTGGTGTACCATCATAAAATTCACGATAAAATTGGAGGTGTCCAAGAATGCTAACTTTTCAATTTTTGATGTCTGCAGATAGAATCTGGATTCCTGTGAATTAATGTATGCCTGTGCGATTTAAAAAGAGAAGCTGTGTCTCATGTGTTGGAAATAGAATTCGTAAATTGTCACAAATTAGGTGTTCCACTGGTGAACGGCTGAGCTCTGACTTACTGGATATCACAGTCAGGAAAGACATCATTTGTCTTCATTGTCCTAGAAAGCCCAGAAATCCATTTTGCTTACTCACCTCGTTAGTGGACTCGGGACTTGGGATTACTCTCCGTGGGATCTGTAGGGCCTGGTCAGTAGGTCTCCAACCACTTTGTAAAATCATGTTCATGCTTTGCATGATCACAACCGACAGGGCTACAGATTGATACAATCATATCAAAGTACACGAAATTGTCTCATAAATCATATTATTCCCATCTTATATACCGTGGTATCAATTTTTATTTTATTTTTAAATTTGAAAAGCAAGATCATCCATCTTACTGCTGTAGACAAATTCAAATTCTTTTATTAACTTTTAAGTTTTTCAGCTGATCAGTTTATAAACAACATTTAAATACAGTGACAGACACTGCAGTTATGCAGTAGAGAACTGACAGAATTTACAGGGTTAAGTTACATATAGTTCATCATTACATCATAATGTGTGTTGTATATATATCTACATATAACATAGACAGAAAGTAAATATTGGCCGTCACATTCCTGTTTATTCGCTAGAAAAAAGGAGGAAAAAATCGGACCCTTCTTTACAAACATTCCAGGCTTGTCTGTAGGTTGTATGACAAGAGCAGAGATCACTTGACACTTTTATAGAGCTAATAATTGTGTGTCATCATGGTATCATTACATAGACACCAGGCTGATTCCACACATACTCCACCATGTTATATACTTATCTGTAGGAATGCAGAGGTATAGTACTATCCCCTCACTACCAGGTCAAGCACGAAGGGATAGTGTTCCCTTCTATACACGGAGGGATAGTGTTCCCTTCTATACACGGAGGGATAGTGTTCCCTTCTATACACGGAGGAATAGTATTCCCTTCTATACACGGAGGGATAGTGTTCCCTTCTATACATGGAGGGATAGTGTTCCCTTCGTATACATGGATGGATATAGTGTTCCCTTTGTATACACGGAGGAATATAGTGTTCCCTTCCTGTACATGGAGGGATATAGTGTTCCCTTGGTATACAAGGAGGGATATAGTGTTTCCTTTGTATACATGGAGGGATATGGTGTTCCCTTTGTATACATGGAGGGATATAGTGTTCCCTTGGTATACATGGAGGGATATAGTGTTCCCTTCGTATACATGGAGGGATATAGTGTTTCCTTCCTATACATGGAGGGATATAGTGTTACCTTTGTATACATGGAGGGATATAGTGTTCCCTTTGTATACATGGAGGGATATAGTGTTTCCTTTGTATACATGGAGGAATATAGTGTTCCCTTCCTGTACATGGAGGGATATAGTGTTTCCTTCATATACATGGAGGGATGTAGTGTTTCCTTTGTAAACAAGGAGGGATATAGTGTTTCCTTTGTATACATGGAGGGATATAGTGTTCCCTTCCTATACATGGAGGGATTTAGTGTTTCCTTTGTATACATGGAGGGATATAGTGTTCCTTTCGTATACATGGAGGGATATAGTGTTCCCTTCGTATACATGGAGGGATATAGTGTTCCCTTCGTATACATGGAGGGATATAGTGTTCCCTTCTTATACATGGAGGGATATAGTGTTTCCTTCGTATACATGGAGGGATATAGTGTTTTCTTCATATACAAGAAGGGATATAGTGTTTCCTTTGTATACATGGAGGGATATAGTGTTCCCTTGGTATACATGGAGGGATATAGTGTTCCTTTCGTATACATGGAGGGATATAGTGTTCCCTTCGTATACATGGAGGGATATAGTGTTCCCTTCCTATACATGGAGGGATATAGTGTTTCCTTCCTATACACACCTGTTGAACATTTTATCAACATTCCAGTCACTTCATTTCTGAATGATTGTGATCAAATTTCATATAAGATCTTGTATGACAATACTTCAAGGATGTTCGTGTTTCAGGGGGTCAAGGTCAAGGTCACCATGACTAATTATGATTGTTTTGTTGTCCTCTGTAGAGACTTATTATTTCATAACAGATTTTGAAATAACTTTGTACAATAGTGAAGTATAATGAAATACCTTGAATATCTGGACATTATTGTCAAGGTCAAGGTCATAAGCCATTATCATTTGCTATTTATAGAACTTCTTTTTTACCCTAAAAAATCGCTAACCTTTCATAAATTAAAATGATTAAATTTGGAATAAAAAGGAAAGATATAAAGAGGAAATTGATCATCAAAGAGTGCAGTTGCTAGATGGATATTAATGACTATTGTGTATACTGACAGGGTTTTGTATTATTTGCAAAGCCTTGTTGCTATTGGTAATATTTGGGGAATGTATATTAAATTTTAACAGTGTTTTAGGGATGCTGTTTATTGTTTGTAACAATATTTGAAAGAGGCTGTTGGTGTTGTTTGTATTTGAGAAAAGGAGGGTGTTGTTTTTACCCATACTTGAGGGAGGATGGTGTGTTTGTAGCAATACTTGAGTGCACCGGCTCAGACAGTGTGTGTGTTTGTGATGCACTTAGTTAAATGGCATGCTTTGTGCAGCTGTAAGAGGGGCCAGGGATCGGCGTAAGGTTCGATGGCAAACATGAAACAAGATCATTAATGTTAGCAAAACAAGTAGAGTACACTCTCAAAAACTATAAAACTTGTGTGTACTTTTATCTCGTCATTAAGTCGTCGTACTGGTAACTCCTGATGAATGGCTGGTGAGTAGAGAGGCGAGCTGGAAACAGCGGGAGGATGTGGGGAGGAAAAGTGAGGGGAAAATGTCACTATAAAGGAGGAGGACAGGGAGTCACTTCAATGTCACGGCTCTCTAATGTTTATATATATATATATATGTGTTCCTATATCATGATTTAGTGTCAGCCTCCATTAACTTTTGTTCTATATTGTGTTATATTGCCAGCCTATGATACATTTGTCCTGTATTGTGTTATATATTGCCAGCCTCTGTAAACATTTGTCCTATATTGTGTTATATACTGCCAGCCTCTGTTAACTTTTGTCCTATATTGTGTTATATTGCCAGCCTATGATACGTTTGTCCTGTATTGTGTTAAATATTGCCAGCCTCTGTAAACATTTGTCCTATATTGTGTTATATTGCCAGCCTATGATACGTTTGTCCTGAATTGTGTTATATTGTCAGACTTAATTTTGTCCTATAATGTATTACAATGTCACATTTGTCCTGTAGTGCTTTTAAAGCCTGCTTTTGGCACATTTGTCCTGTATTTTGTGATAATGCCAGCCTCTCTTTGTTTTGTAGGTTGTGCATGGTGATCAGTTGATGCCACTTGAGTGACAGTTTGATTGGGACCAAGTGTGATTAAGTGGCATTGTTTGCTGAAGTCGGAAGGTAAGGGTTTAAGCTGTTTAGCGGACTCTCGCCTGATCAAATGAGGAGCCGTAGACAATACAGTCATTCCCTGCGAGCACTGTTATGTGGCCTTAATCAGGTGATGCGGTGCTAGTATACGCCGGCGATTGACCGCACTGATCAGACGTACTCGCCAGGCCACCTAACCTAATTGTCAGCTGGCAAAAGTCACAATGGCCACAGATTCACATGATTTAAATTATCCGTGGTCGGGGCTATTTGTCTTTAAGGGTTCACACTAATAGTGTTACTAAACACTATGTTGACAACAGGTTCTTGGCATGAAAAGTAGAGGATGACGCCCAGATCAGAAGATGACGCCCAGATCAGAACACTTGATCAACCATTTACAGGAACCGATATCCTCTCAGAAATTTGGTTATTAATTCCTTAAACAAAATTGACAACCCTGTCGTCTGCCCGCCTGTCATTGATAGCATACCTGAGATCTAACTGGTTTTACTTCATAAAAGATATCTCTCAAATTCTAGCTCTGATCTGGGTAGTATTTGTAATTGATGGTAACGTACAAGGTCAAGGGTTACCAAAGTGCGTTTCATAACCAATAGAAAATATGAGTTTATGATGTTCATTTTTAATTTGATGTACAACTTGCCACTATCAAGTGTACTGCCAGAAAGATGCGGCTACATGACGTGAGATGGCAGAGTCTAGTAAAACTGGATGTATAGCTTACAAACTGATATAGATTACCATACAGATGTATTGATTCATAAATCGGTCTCTATAAATCATTATACTAGAGTTTCTGTCTAAATTAACTCAGCTGATTTCACATACCTTTCATTCTTAACTTCAATCAGACGTTATACCTGTAATCTCGCCGAAGATCGTGAGAGAGCTAAATGCAGTCATTCGTGTATTTAGTCTTATCTTCAGTCGACTTGATTGATGAAAATGCATTCTTTCACTGAATTAAAGACGGATGTAATACAAACTAGTATCAGCTGTATCGTACCATAATCACCCAAAAACTACCGAGCCAGGACCCGTGCTCTCCTGGGTGGTGAATATGATTAGATGGCGGTGCCGCTCTCTCTTAATGCCTGTACAAGTCTGAGGGAGGCTGCATTGAGGTGCCTACAGAGGGCGCCACTTATTACATTTAATGTGGTACCTATATTTGCTTTGTGCTGATCGATCAAAATAAATGAATGCCTAGCCTTGGTTTAATAGTGTACAGCCGGAATATGTAATACCGGGAAGATCTGCTTATAAAATGGTATTTATATCCAGATTTTTTGCTTGATCAATCAAAATGAATTTACACATATAGATCATACGGAGTAGAAGGAAGCTGAACGCCTGTGATGATCAGTCTGCGTGGGTCAGGTGGTCTCCGGTATTATTTTATTACCCATATTGGAAAACGGGTTTGAATCAGATCACTTATAATACCGTTTTGTAGCTTCTAGTGATGAAGAATGCACCTTGTTTGCAGCTTAAAATACTTATATACCACGTCTTAAGAAGTCAGGTTGGGGTGGCCAATTATGTATGGTTTCTGAGAGTTAAAGTTAATATGTTAAACCAATTTCTGCTATAAACATCTCTTCAGAAGAATGGAAAAAATAGCAATTGGAGCCCATGTCCAGTACATCAGATAAAACTGTGGTCTGCTTTAGAGGAAGAGGGGAGAATTCAAGATGCTTTTAAGTGATGGAAGGGGGCGCGCACAAATACTTCCTGGACAATTTACCGTGGTTTGGAGGTAGACTAGAGGCTCGCGCACTCAAATACTTGTATGAGGATTCATGATGCTTTGGAACTATACAAACACTTCTTGGACAATGCATGAGGAAGCGGCTTCTTGTTACTTATCTACAGCAGTATTGCTGTACTAACCCTTAATTTCATCCCTATGTAACTTTAGTAGACTCTACCATGCATTGATCCGGTTAAGTCCATTATGGTCTACAGTGGTGAAAGGGCTAAGTAGTACTCGAGATGCTGGTCCTGGTGGGGTTGTGTGTGGCCCTATACTTCACAGAACTTGGGTGTATGCATTAACTCATTCACCCCTGAAATTGCATAATGAACTATTCCAACCTTTGAATGGAAAGAGTTCTAATGTGTCTTCAGGGGGGAATGAGTTAATATAAACACAGTAGAAGCAAGCAGAAAGTTCTTATGCTGTTCTGCTTTTTGTTTTCCTGGTGATAGTAATCCGATTTGGCATATTTCAAATTGAAAATAATTAGTATTTATGATTTTTTTTTTTTTTTTCATGAAATATTTGTAATTATCTGTAATTACTTAAGCTGAGATGTTGTGTTTGATGCCTTCATGTGATGATTACCGTACGACCTGCTACCATCTAAATTTTTATTTTCTGTGAATTTGATTCTTCTTTTGAAATTGTTCTCCTTTCTGGATAATTTTATCCCATATGTCAGTAAACCTGGTTCATTCCTCAACTATTTTAAGCAATAAATTGGTCACTAAATGTTCACACCAATAAAACGGAGCTTCTCGCCCAAAATCTGTGGCAATATCTCATTAACTAAAATAGACTATCCTCAACCAATCAAAACATTTTCACCTACCAATGAAAATGCTACAGAGCTTGTTTTAATTACCTGAATGAATGTTAATATTTACAGGTCGTACAGCCCTACAGAAGTTTGTGAAAAATCAATAAAGGCTACAACTATGTACAATAATGCTACATGTGTTACTACAGAAATGATGTCCCCCTAATGAAAATTCTATCTTTATTCCGGAGTCCCTGTTGGCAAGACACATGCTGAAATATGTGTTAATCTCCAGTAACGTTGGGAGCAGAAGCGACGAGTTTACGACAATTTTGTACAGCAGCTCACAAGGTTTATGCCTTTTTCGTTGTTCGTTGCCACAATTCCCAACATCAAAATGGTGTGTTTTGTGTAGAACCCATGTCAACTGCTGACTTTCTACAGCCCAAAGAATCGAATATAAACAGAATGATTGAGGCCTCGCGTAGATATATACTACCCACCCGACTTCTATAACGGAAATTGTTTAATAGTGACCAAGCATGACCTTTGACCCTTTAACCTTAACCATGAAAATTTGTAAACAGGTTTGAAACTAAACTTTACCAAAATACTTCTGTGTTAATGTAACGATAATTTGTTAAAGGGTTCATAAGATATCTTATACACGAGTGGTCAAGTGTGACGCTTGACCTTGATCCTTGACCCTTTACTCTTGACCATTGACCACCTAAATCTAATCGGGTGTAGATTTGCATACTTCCATACTATGATGTAAATATAAACTGGATTTGTGGAGGGCTTCGTGAGATATGTCTTGTTCACATGCTTTTTACTACGGATGCTCTAACAAAGCTATTACTAGATTCCCCCCTCATTAAGACGGGTATAATAAAGAAAGGATAGGTTACAATGTTTAATCAGTACATTGTGATCACCTACAGCCCTGAGCATCAAACAAAGTGAGAGTTACAATGTCCATAACACTTTTATGAAACAATGTTGCTTTTAAATAGTTGCAGGCTGCACAGCTTCCATTGAAATAAGTAGATATGCAATTTGTGAAGATATGCAATTTTCATTTTTCATCAAAACTTTATTTAAGAACAATTAAGAAACGACTTTTATCAAGTTATATTAATCAATCTTGTTGGCCAAGATGGAATTGCCCAAAGAGTCTCAATGTGGGAGAAAAATGGAGAACTTGGAAAAAACCCACATGGTTTAAGCCAGGTGACCCATACTTGTTTTTGTCCAATCAGGGAATTGAACACTGGTTGTCATGGTGAAAGGCATGTGTGCTATCCATTGTGCCACTGACCACTAAATTTTAGTCCCAAACAACTTAAGACTGGTTGTGTATTCTATCTGATGCACACAATGTTAAATAGATGTATAGATCTACATAGTTGGCAATACAGACAAACATATCTATTCTCATGTTCAGATATCGACCTATCAAATTCTTCCTGGTAAATCTTCTACAAACTTTTAAAATAACTCTCGAAGCAGTTTTACTGGGTGGCTCCATGTCTTCAAATTTACTCTTGGACCGAAATTGAATGTTGTGTGATGTGAGGGCCCCAGCATTATGTTTACCGAGAGATAATCTACGTGTGATGCATGTTTCTCCGTAACTTCTATCTGATAAACCTTGTAACATATTGATAAACCTTCACCATAACCAGCCTACATGATGTAAATCTGTAGAAGGGGTGGCCGACTAGCCCCTGTCAACCTGATAGCCTTGCTGTCGCAATGCAGGATATCGCTTGATTCAATGGCAATTATCTTTTTAAATTTTTCCGTTTTCAATACTATTATTTCCACCACCCAATAGTAATGCTATTTCACGCTCATCTTCCTTATTGTATCCCAGTGATTGCTGCAGATTTATCTTCTAAAAGTTTGGAAAAACACGAAAAACTTAAATAAATTCAAGACATGTAGAAAAGACTCAACAAACTTTATTTGAAGATCGATTGTCACATGATTATTTCACATAGTTGAAATAAGATTTATTTAGGAGGAACCTGCAAATATTTTTTCTACGTGCCAACCTGAAACAGTGAGCATTATAAAGCTGTTTTAGCCAACTTTAGCTTTGCCTTTCTCTCCAGCACTGACACTAATCACTATAAATATTAAATGTTGTATAAGGGGAGAAATCACTGTAAATGTTTAGTATTGTATGAGGGGGGAAATCACTATAAATGTTTAGTATTGTATAAGGGGAGAAATCACTATAAATGTTTAGTATTGGATAAGGGGAGAAATCACTATAAATATTTAGTATTGTATAAGGGGAGAAATCACTATAAATGTTTTGTATTGTAGAAGGGGAGAAATCACTATAAATGTTTAGTGTTGTATAAGGGGTGAAATCACTTTAAATGTTTAGTATTGTATAAGGGGAGAAATTACTATAAATGTTTAGTATTGTATAAGGGGAGCAATCACTATAAATATTTAGTATTGTATAAG